TGTGCGTGTGCGTGTGCGTGTGCGTGTGCGTGTGCGTGTGCGTGTGCGTGTGCGTGTGCGTGTGCGTGTGCGTGTGCGCGTGCGCGTGCGCGTGCGCGTGCGTGTGTGTGTGTGTGTATTTTTTTAAAATCTTTTATACATAGGTATACGAGATTGATGGCTGGTGTCCATGCGTGAGCATAGCGAGTGGTATAAGACATCAGTTATTCAGCAGAGAAAGTGTCTGCGCGTGGCAGATGTATTTTTGCGCGTTTCCTGTGCGCCTGGTCACAGTTGGAGCAGCTTAAAATGACGTAACGTATGAGAGCACCTGCGCTGAATTTACATGGCAGGCGCCCGCCACCAACTCTTCGGTGTGGATGGGTCCAATTGCATAATGCTGGCACTTCTCTGTTGGCTGCCTGGCCAGCATGCTGGGCGGCATAGTGCGTTTGAGTGGTAGCACCAGGGTACCCGGAACACCTCGTAACATAGAGCTGCGCCATGGATACACTTGTAAGCCTGCCCGCCAATAGCAGCGCTCTGGGGATGGGAATCCCTATTGGTTAAAAATAGACTTCTCTGACAGAGATTCCTCCATACCTTTAGAAATCTCCACCAAGAAATAGCGACTGCTAATGCCGCTTTAACTGCGTACATCCAACCATCCTACATGTTTGAGATGCAAAAACCCTAATGCCGAAGTATTCGAGTCGACTCATAATTTCATGCGGTTTTTAGTAGATAATGTTATGAACGATTATTCTAGCATTTTGAGATAGTTTGTTGACTCACAAATATGGCGTCATGCGTTTAGTTCATCGTTATTAAACTGGCATAATATATTATATTATAATGTGTATATTTCATTTACAGCGCAAAACACGCTTTTAATAAAGCTGCATAATATAATTATTTGAGCAGTAAAACTGATAAATTAAGTTATTTTACCGCTTTACAGTCGCGATTTTGCGCGGTGTCACTCGTTGATAATTATAATTTTATATTTGTACACATTTATGCTTTATGCTCTTTAATGTGGCCCAAAACGGTGGTTGATGCATTGCTGTGCAGTAAGGCTGCAATTTGTTGTACTGAAAAAAATCGATGGTATTTCAAGAATTTGCACACATTATGATAAGATCAGGCAAAGTATAAAATGGCAAACACAATAATTAAGTTATGCAAATTAAATGGAAATGAAAACCTTGATATTCGAGGGTTTGCTGCTTCCTACTGACGCCGTGGGCGTGTGCAAAAATATCACCATACACGTATGTTCTATTTACGTTGTCTCACTGAATATTTCCGTCTAGTCGTAACGTGCACGCGCGTATTGTACGAAATTCGACGGCACTTGGATCCACAATGGATTTCTCACGTTTATTATTGTATTTGAGTTTCTAATGCTTCTTGCATCGTTTACAACATTACGGGAATAAACGTCCATAATTTTGATTATAGATAGATTTTCGCGTCGAGATTTTCTATAAATAATCACAATGGTTCTTTGTCAAATGTTACACTCTACTTGTCGCCTTCTGTGTAACAACGTGTAATAATGCCATGAAACCCGATTTAACTTATCATAGGCACAAATACTTGGAACGTTTTAAATAATAAAATTGTGGTAAATGAAAACTAAATGTGTTTACTACCAAAGTCTCAGTGTTAATGTAGGTGTTCTCTATCGACTAATAATTCCACGTAAAAGCCGTTCGAATGTAGTTTTGCAACACGCAATTTCACCGGACGCACGCTGCTGTGCACAAACAACAGAAATATAAAATTATCTTTATATTTCTGTTGTTTGTGTACAGTGGCGTGCGTGCAGTGAAATTATAGTGTGTTGCGGCCCAGCATTTGAACGGAATTTACAGGGAGTTATTACTAATAACAGACGAAAGAGAGTAGAGAAATATTAAAACGTTGGCAGTAAATACATTTGGTGT